TTAGGATCTGTACCTGCGTTTCGGTAGATGTACAGTATGAAAAGGAGACAGGCATGTTACATGTTTATAATAATGATTTGGAGAGGAGGTGGGGGAATCTATGCAAATAAAAAATTGGGGTATAGGTAAAAACTTTAAATTTTTTGTGTTGTTTTTAAAGCATTTACTGGATACACAACCATCCATTATCTTTTATCATATTATAAATTGTTCTTAGAATTGCAACCTGTGGAGATAAATCTGTCTCTTTAACCTGCCTAAGTTCACTCTTTGTCTTGATACTAGCATTAATGATTTGTTTGTTAGATACTACAGGATAAAGAAACCGATTTCAAGGAGGAAGATGATAAATACTTCATTATTTCTTCCCTCAAATACATGTTTAAAATACATGGTCTTAAATAAGATTGTCACTTTGCACTTAAAATATTCTTGCCTTATGCCCACCCCTTGCTTTAAGGAGAAAAAAAAAAAAAAAAAGGAAAAGGAAAGCCTTCCAAGAAAAGGAATATATGTAATCCTGGTAGCCAATGAGTTAATGTTCATTTGCAGCCTGAGGGGTCAGTTTGCAGTCTCTGTTTCCTGATTGGCTGCTAAAAGGTGAAATTGAAACCACTGTAAACTTTTGACCCTGTAGCAATTCTTGTGGAACGCTGTCCACTGGTGGAGCCCAGAGCTTCGGCTCACCTCCCCACCCAGCTCTCCCACCCCCTTTCCTGTATTTATTTTGTGTGATCATGCAGCACTGCATGCAGTTTTTCCAAGAGAGGGGGGAGAGGGAAACTGAACAAGCACCGGCAAGTGCCTCGCTTGCATGCCTGTTTTAGTAACCGTGTCATTACTAACTAAAACTCAGCCAAAGATGTGGGGCCTGTTAATAAACTGGTCTGCCAACCGGATTTTTTAGTTTTCTCCTTAATCTCAAGGTAATTTCAAAAATGCAGAATGGTTATATTTACTGCCATTGTTCATCAGTGGTTAGTATCGTTGTGTAAGCAAAATGTATGGTGTAATTTCCTGGGTATGTTGAGTTAAAAATAGCTTTCATTTTCAGCAGCCTTTATATACACCCCATTAATGTTTTCTCTGTCTCATGTAATTTTTATACAATTGGCTAACATTTTACAAAAATGCCTTTGTCTTATTATAAACTCAAATGGCATTTTAGTTGTGATAACTATGGAAAATAATTGTAGAAATTATCTGTACATTTAAATTTCATTAATCTCTTTGCTGAGGTAAATGGTTTTGGATTTGTCTTGCATTCACATTTAAATAGTGCTTTACAGTTATGAAAAAGGCAAGGGCAGTTCTTTTCTTTAATATTGTTGGACTCTATATCTTCAACTTCTGGTACTTCCTTGTATCCCTGGTGTCTGGCACAGTGTAGCACATTGATGCTCAGCAAATCCTTACTAAACGGACATAGTTTTCATTTTGAGAACTATAGTGGTTATTTATACTTGCTTCTTTCCTAATTAACGGCAGGAACCATATTTTCTTATACTTCTGACTGCCAGTGCAGTGCCTGGCATCTAATAGGTACACAGCAAACATTTAATTGAATTAAATGTCTTACACAAGGTCACTTCAAGAAGCTGGACTTCCAAAACCTAGGATTTTACTGCATCATTTAAATTTTCAGGTTGTCTCCATATAGGACTAAGCATTTATTATATTTTATTAAATGATGATGTAGAACAAATTATTATAAATCAGCTAGGCCTTGTATATCATAGGAGAAGTGGTAATACATGGCAGTCTTTTTAACCCTGTCCTTACTTTACTAGACATGCATATGCTGTAATTTGAAATAATTCCTGCCCCCTTGTCAAAAAGATGATGGTATTTTAAAAAGTTTGTCATTAGTGTATTACCAGTGTCCTCTGGGGTACCAAATACATTTTTACTTGAACACATAATAGTGGATTAAGTAATAAATAGTAAAAAAAAAAAATTCACTGAGTTGTTTATACAGCTTTAAAGAAAGCAGTAACTTTTCTATACAATTTAAAATTTTCAGTTGATTTTTAACTTACATCTGTTTTTTCCCTATCAGTATAGATACAGATTGGTTTCAGTTGACTGATGCAAATAAAATCCATTGTTACAGTTTTGACAAAGTATGATATATTTATCACTTGATAAATAATCTGAACTGCAAAAGAATGTTAAATTTACACCAATATTGGGTAACCATTAAGTACCCTGAAATTTAATTGGTGAACAAACTTATTCTGTAGTGCTTTTAAGATGAGTGGGCAACAGCTAGCTTTTCCCAAAGACTGAATCTCCATCTCTGGGATTTTAGGGAACAGAGGAGGGAGGTCCCTGGGAGCATTGCCTGCAGCAGCATGGAAAGAACAATGAGTTTAATATGATTAATAGTAGAGTCCTTGACATCTTCCATGTTCACCAGCAAAAAGAAAGACATGTTCATAACATTCAGTGTCCTCTTTTTGTTCATTTGTGTTTCCAAGCATCAGCATTAGTTTGGATTTTCCTCTGTCAACTCCCTTCCCCCAGTTTGAGTCTTTGTTTTGGCCTCGAGGCACATCTTTTCAGACTAGCTTTTAACAAAGCTCAGTTTGACCCTCCCTCCCATTAGTTTTCTAGTGATGCAGGTTTTGATACTGTGGATCTTATCAGTCACCTTTTTGTTAATTCTAGTAGAAAAATTAATGTCCCCTCCTTTTCAGTTACATAGTATTTTGGGAATGTGTCATTCATTTTTTATGTCTGTGATTTTATTTATATATGTATGATTGGCTAATGTCCAAACTATGAAAAGGGATAAGAGTAAGCTTATTTTTGATAAAGGTAAGAAATACCGTTCCAAGAAATGTTCTAGGACTATTATTGCTTTTGCAGAATCTTGGTTCTAGACAAGTTAACTGCAGTTTTCCTAACAGTTCCATACTTTATAGGATCCTGGTATATAGTACTGTTTAGAACCCTTTCACGTTCCTGGGAGGCAAGCCAGTCATTGAGCTGTGACTACTTGGGGACCTTTCTAGTACAGCTGTGCACTTTGGAGGTGAGGTGGTGTTTCTTTGGATGCCTGGAGTTATGGGGTGCAAAATGAGTGGATCAGCACTCTTTTAAATAGTTCTCAGCAGTGGTACAATAATAGTTGAGTATTAACGTAAGATCTGCTTGTCAACATTCCACACCAGGCAGCAGTACTTGTTTCCTGGGTTAGTTGTTACGATACTGGGTACATTCTGACTCAAATCCCTTTTCCTACCCACCCCTCTTGTTCTGTAGGTACTAAGTCTTCCTTACTACCTTGTCCCTTCCCCCATATAACAACAAAAGAACCATTTCTGAAGTGAAACTTGATTTAAAACCAAGGCCAGAAAATTTTGGATTTTCTTTGCAGAAGTTCGGCCTACCTTTTCCTCCATTTCCTTTAATTAAATTGGATGTCATAAAAATTCAAGTCATAAAACATTGAATTCATTTAAAAACTAAAACTAATGATTGTATTTTCTCCAATTTTTTCATTTCAATGTGCTTGGAAATCCTTAAGTTATATTATGTGTCCAATAATCTTTTGGCTAATAGTTTTTATTTTTTGAGCATTTATATAGTGATACTAATAAGGAATTTAAGCATTTTCATTTAATCGTTACAATAGCCTTCTCATGAGGTGTTATTCCCATTTCAAGATGAGAATATATGGCTTGAAGAAGTCTTAAGTTGACCCAGGGATACCTAGCTGGTAAGTGAAAGAGTTGGGAGATGTAGATCTGGTGGACTCCAAAGCTTTCGCTCTTTAACCATTATGCTAACAACTAGTTACACTGTTGTGCATTAGAAGATGTATTCCATGAACCCGTTTACTTTTAGCATATATCTCAGTTATAAGCTGGAGACTATACTGTGATTACAGGTAGACATGTTAGTAGATATATCAGCTCTTTTTATAACTAATTGCATAGCACTGATAATACTACCTGGATTTTCCTCTTTTCCCTTTGTGTACCACATATGATGTGCTCCCCTCTCTCCCAATTTTCTCACCTTTAATTTGGGTTTCAGAAGTTAAGCAGACGCTTCATATCATGCAACTAGATTGTGATTGGTTGTCCCCTATCTGCATACTAATTTGTCATGACTGTGATATGTTTGTTACTTGGAACTTGTAAATATATCATTTTTTTCTTACACCACTTCCCAACAGACCTGCCAATTTCAGCATGATTGCTGTTAACTTTAAGACATAGTTATGGTTGTTGTCTTGATACAGGTAACACTAGAATTAGTGGTAGTCAGATTGTTGCTTTATTGTTACATTTGGAAATTCATAAGGTGAGGGTTGAATGTTTTTACTGGCTCACTTTTTTATTACACCAGAGCCACCTTCACATTTTCTCAAGTGCAGAAGAAGTCTGTTCTTTATATGTCGTGTATTTTATTGAAGATTATTTTGAAGAACTTGAAGAACTGCCCCTCATTTCTCTATCTCCCATTTAAAAATATTTCTTGTTGGTGACTCAAGTGTAGCCTTTCGTAGAGAAGGAGAAAACGTCCAGGTTCTTTTTCTTGCTTGCTTACCTTGTCCATCCATCCATCTGGTGGGTATTTAAGCATTAGCTTCTGCCACAATATTAATATTGTTTTTAATTGTTATTTGTTGAACACTCCTTTTGGACAGGTGGGGACACCCCAAGTTCAGCTTACTCATTTGATCACTTTTCAGGACTTGGAGCTGGTTTCCTCTACCCCTCTTGGTATTCCTCATTTTTACAAACTGACAGAACATATTGTGTATTCCATGCCTCACTTTTTAAGCAGAAGTAGTAATATATAGCAAAATAAGGCATCAGCTCAAATTCCCAGGAAGAGGCCTCTTACTTGATAGCCTTTCTTTGGTGTGTTTCATATGTCCAGGGAAGGGAAAAGTGGGAAAAGTTAATTTGTGTGTGATTAATAATAGTACTATTATTAAGAAAGGGCAATAAATTCAACCCCCCCCTCCTTTTTTTTGTCTTCAGGATCAAAATACTTGCTGAACAGTGGAGTCAGAGACCAATAAAAATAAACTACTTGAACGTCATTTGACTGGTTAGCCAGGTAATTCAGTTTCACTTTGACTCAATCCTTTGTAATTTTCTTACTTCACCCTCTGAAGAGATCTGCCCTCTTCTTTAATTTATAATTTAAACTTGTTTAATACTTCATGTTCTTCTCTTTAATGATAATAATAGTTGAACGAGTGAATATGTATGTGTGTGTGTGTGTGTGTGTAACTTTTGAGGAGGAAGGGAACTGTATGCTACAGTTTACTATGAGACACTACCCCCCCCGCCCACTTTTTCCTTGTGTGTGACTCTTTTAATGGCATTTAGTCAAAATCTGAATCATTCCCACCTGTTATCATTTCACCTTGTGAAGACTGGTTTCCCCAGATTACTTGTGTTAGCAAATAGTGTTTCATCTAACTCCTCTCCTAACTTTCATGATTGCATTGGAATAGGAGAAATGATAGTTGAGAAAGCAGCGCTTTGCTTATTAGCTAGTTAAATTTCTTTTAGTAATACCACCATTCTCTTCATTAGCTAGACTTGAAATCTGAGTCTTCGAATCCCACCCCCTTTGATACATTTTAGTAAACAGGCCTTATCCGGTTTTCAGTTTTCATGTCTCCTACATTTATAACACTTTCTTTTATTAATTTTAGCATCCTTGATCCAGATTTAATAATTTCTTGCTTGTATTTGTCCACATGTCCCTTTACTGCTGCTTATCTACTATTTCTACCTACTTGAAATATATGGGGGCATAAGGATTGATATATAAATCAATAGAACAGAATAGACACTAGAAAAAGATCTTGATGTTGATTGCCAAAGCAATGCAATGGAAAAAGGAGAACCATTTCAATAATTAGCCCTGGAATGAAATAACCATATTTTAAAAATTGGTCCTCAATCCTTTCTTCACACCATACACAAAATTAAAATGGATCATAGACCTAAATAATGCTAAAACTATAAACTTTTCTAAACATAGGAAAATATCAGGCAGCCACTGATCTGCTCTTAAGTCACTACAGTTTTGCCTTTTCTTAGATTTCATGTAAACGGTATTCCCCTTGTGCATGTAACTTTTGTAATTGTTCCATGATTCTCGAATATATTTTTCTTTTTCTTTGCATTTCAGTTTTGGAAGTTTGTATTGCTATATCTTCAAGCTCACTCTCCCCCCACCCCCAGCTGTGTCCAGTCAACTAATAAACCCATCAAAGGCATTATTCATTTCTGTTAGTGTTTTTTGGTTTCTGATATTCCCATTTGCTTCTTCCTTAGAGCTTCCATCTCTCTGTGTACATTACCCACCTGTTCATGCATATTGTCCACTTTTTCCATTAGAGCCCTTAGCATATTAATCATAGCTAAAATTGCACATTTGGTTTCTTTCCTGTTTACTAGCAAACTTTTGAGGCTTCTTTGCATATATCATCAAAATCTGTTTTGATTTCTTAGTGCTTGTAACTTCTCATTTAAGAATGTAGGTCACATAAAAACTTCATAAATGTTCATAGTAACATTATTCATTATGCCAAAAAATGGAGACAGCTTAAATATCTATCAACTAATGAGTGGATAAATAAAATACGGTATATCCGTACAATGAAGTATTATTCAGAAATAAAAAGAAATGAAGTACTGATATATGCTACAACATGGATGAACTAGAAAGGATTGTGCTAAATGAAAGCCAGTCATAAAGTACTAGATATTGTATGATTCCATTTGTATGAACTGTCCAGAATAGATAAATCCATAGAGACAGAAAGTAGATAGTGGTCGCCTAAGGCGGGGGCATGGAGAGGGAGTTTGTGAGGTGGGGGAGGGGCATTGGGAGGATTAGGGGAGAGACAACTAAGGGATACTGGGTTTCTTTTTGGGGTAATGAAAATGTTCTAAAATTGATTGTGGTAACAGTTATACAATTTTGAATATATTAAAAGCTAATGAATTGCATATTTTAAATGTATGGTAAGTGAATTGTATTCCCATAAAGGTGTTAAAGAATATAGCTGATTTATTGAGGAATAGTAAGAGTTCTATGATGCCATAAAGGATGGAAAAATAGTTACTTTTCTCATGGCATTGCTGGGTTTCAAAAGTAACATGTTAGTTGAACTTACTTCAGTTTTTCTAAAGCTTCTTGTAGCCTTATAGTAATTATAGGGTTAATGCTAATTCCAGCACTGTATCTTTTTCATGTGTCAAGAACGTTTATATCAAAAAGAATTCTTCAAAAAAAATTAAAGTCATACCCAGACCTATCTGCACTTTTCTGTTGTCCATTAAACGTTTGGGAGATACTTATGGATATCTAGCAGCAGAATGTTCAGAAATCAGTTTTTGCTCTCAAGCTTATAATAGTAATTTTTAAAAAATTACCAAGAAAGCCATAATTTTGGTATATCTGCTATTTAGAGCTAATGAAGTGCTGTGGTTACAAGTGGAAAAGCCAAAGTTATTTTACTTGAGGTAATCAGACCACATTTACTTCCTCACCCCATTTTAATTTTCTTTTTGGTTTTAAACTTTTAAGGGTGTCCTTCTATGGAAAGAGGACTGATGATGACTAATGATATATTTAAAATTGGAAGTAACTGGTTCTGTGATGATATGTAGGAGAATATTAAGCATTTGTAATTTTAAAAGTTTAAATATTTTGACTTTAATGTTGACTAAACAGCAGTTTAGTTTAAAAGATAAATGTTTTTGAGCAGAGGTCACGAATATTATACAGAGATGCTTTTAACAGAAAATGCCTATTGATAGTTGTTTTTATTATTAAAGTCAAAGACTGAAGGTTAAGTTACTTTGCTTTAATGATGGAGCTTTCAAAATATGTAGAGAAAATCATTAAAATTTTAAGATGCCATCTTTGACATGAACAAAAACTATCTGAATTGCTATACTAATCCAGTCACTCTTTTTCTGCTCTTGGTGAAAAGGGAGGAGATAAGGTTTTAGTAATTGTTCATAGCCAGGGTTCATTAAAAGGACAGTTTTATTGGACTTGGAAACACAGATATAAAAATGGTCAGATTGGTAATAATATAGCTCTTGTAGTACTTAATTTTATAACTTAATTAAGAAATATAATTGGCCTGAATATCAGCTCAATGATGTAAAAAGTGAACTGTTGTACAAATAGTCCAGTTTATATCACTGTTATAAATGGCTCTGTCATGTGCCAAACTCTTAGAGTAATTACTTTCTTATGATTCAGTCTTCGTTTCCAACAACTGTTTAGTAAGAATATGTTTTTGAATCTGTGTAATATTTAACATATAAAGCCTGCATTATTTTGAAGTTGATATTGAAAACCTCTAAACTTCTGACCTTGAATAGAATTTGCTATGTATAACCATTACGTGCAGCTGGTGGATTCAAAATTGCCTTTGCTAGGACTCTGCTTTGTGAAAAATAGTGTGAATTGGGCCTGAGTGCATGGCAGCTGACATTTATCAAGGATAACAGGAGTCTTACTCATTTTCACATTTTAAAGTAACTTTGAAAGCTTTGCATGTGCACACGTGGTCAGCATATGTTCCCAAAATGTAAATATATTTTCCATCACGTATCAATGAAACTAAGTATTACTCTTTAATGAGCTTCATATATTACACTCGTACCATGCGAGTGTACAAGCACACTATGTGCATATATTTTGTGAGTACCTGAAGAGCTACAGTTTAGGATCTTTAATTCATTCTGTAGAATTTTATCTTTCATGGTTTTTAAATTATTACAAGTAAAAATACACCTAATGTATTCCATGGTTTTTAAATTATTACAAGTAAAAATACACCTAATCTTATTACACAATGTGTGATTTGGCATTTCTTTCATTCCCCTACTTAAAATTTGTCCATAATATAGAAAACTTAGTTACAGACCTTTTTTTCTAAATCAACTACTAGTGTATTGCTTTTCTATTTGAAAAGATTTTTATAGAGCTAGTTATTTTACTGGAGGGTGACAAAGAGAATTGGAATTGCATGATTTTTAGTGTTCTTAGCCTTTTGAAATTTTCTTTAAAATAAGATTGCAGTAATTTAAAAAGAGTTCTAGAATAAAACTGTAAAGTTCATAGTGTGTTGGCAAACTTGTTAATTAAAATAACATCTTTTTATCGTTGGTATGGGTTTCAGATACTGCAACCCTCAGATATATTGATGTGCAGATCAAGAAAGCAGTAGATGTGCTTTGACTTCTGAAGATATATTGGCCATGCACAGCTGTAATCTTACTATCTTTTCATTTTTAGATATGATGCAGTTGTGTAAGGCCCTGGGAATGGGGAGTTAGTTAATTTTTTGTGTGTATGAGAGTTTAATTTGGCTTTTGGTAAGCCTGTTTTGTGGTGTGAGGATACCATGTAAATTGTGGCTGTTTCATTAATTACTTCTCTCTCAATTCCATTTGAAATATAAGAAGCCTGCGTTCCATTCCTTTCCATTTTCTTTTGGCGGTTGAAAGGGAAGTCATTTTATTAAGAATGATGAATAGTGAAAGCAATTTAAAATTTAAGCTAGTTAAATTGCCAGTCTTTATATTTAAAAAAAAATTGTAGATCAATTAATTATGAATTTTAACATGAATTTTCAAAGAGGAAATCGTCCTTAATCACTTGTGACTCAAGTGCCCTTTCTAACAATAGGTACTGTTTCTGTAAATTCTTTTGACAGAGAAGTGTGCAGCATCAGAGAGGTTTAAAGAAAATATTTGAAGTGTTTACATAAGAATACTTTAAGACCACTACCAGAACTTTATTTGTATATCTTAGTATTTGAGAATTTAGTACTTCCCAAAAGACATCTCTTTAGTTCCCTCTTAGGTTCAGACAATTCACGTAAGTTATTCCGCTGATATAGGAGTTAGAAAACACAAATAGTACATCGTTTCCTGAATTTATATGGATGGTAGATGTAGTCACTTTATAATTACAGAAAAAAATTCTATTTTTTTAATAACCTTTCTGGTAAATCATAGCCATTTTTCAAGCCTACCATCTGTCCAGACACTTAGCTGTTTTTTTGGGGGGAC